CCCCCCCCCCGCCTTCTGGAGATTGGTACAGAAGTGTGAGCAGAGCTGAACTAATAAAGATTAAAGTAAAATGTAGAGCAAGGTGTAGTTGTGCACACCCGTGGTCCTGCCCTCTAGCCAAAAGCAAGAGGATCCTACAGTCTGACTCCCCCAATGCCACCACTCCCCAAAAAAGAAATAAGTGAGTGCTTTGGCTCAATGTATAACGCTTCCTTTGCAATACCAGGAGGCTGGGTTCGAATCCCAGTACTATCATAAAAAAAAAAAAAAAACTTGCTTCTAGGTATTAATGGTTCAGTGTGATAGTCTACCTATAATTCTAACTGCTCAGAAAACTAAGGAAGGATCAAAAAAAATTTCAGCATTGAACAATTTAGCAACACCCAACTCAACCTTTTTGTTTTTAAGTTAAGCTGGTAAACTGGGTTTATTGTCATAAATCTTATAATCCTTGCATTTGCAGGGAGAAGGTAGGAAGATCCAGAGTTGTAGGTCTCATTCTTGGTTATTATAGCAAGTTTGACGCTAACCTTTTCTCTCTCACACACACTTTTTTTAATGCCAAGGCTCTAGGCCTGGTGACAGATCTGCAGTCCCAGTGATCAGGGAGACTAAAGTAGGCTTATTGCAAGTCAAAGCCTGCCTGGACCATAGAGTGACTTCAAAATCTACTTGGTTACCTTAGTTAAGAGACTTTGTCTCACCAGATGATGGTGGTTCAGGCCTTTAATCCCAGCACTTGGGAGGAGACAGAGGCATGTGAATCGCAGTGAGTTCAAACCCAGCCTGGTCTACAAAGCAAGTTTCAGGACATCCGGGAACGTTACACAGAGAAACCCTATTGGGGGCCGGGGGAGGAGAGACTCTGTCTCAAAATAAAAAGTAAAAAAACGTCTAGTTGGGGAAAGGCCTTGCCCAGCATGCAGGAGACATTCAGTCTTCAGCACCAAAAAAAAAAAAAAAAAAAAAAAAAAGGAATCAAAGAACAGGTTGGGCAAGTACTCCAAACTCTGGAACACATTTTCATCAGACACTGAGTGCTTACAATGGGCCACACTAACCTTAGCCCCTAATTTGTCAAGCTTTTAATGTTCCCTTCAGTCCAGGGTCTCTGTACTCATGTCCCTTTCCGATCTTTGATCATTCAGTAGTAGCACCATTCACATCTCTCAAATGTCATACATGCATTACCTATTCTGATCCTGTTCTAGTTTCCTTCATTATGGCTGCATCTTAAAAATAACCTTTGTTTTATGTTATTACATCTTCCCCACAAGCAGAACCAGACCATAGTAAATAACTTGAGTACTGTTGCATGCGTAACATCTGGTTTCCTTCCAGTCACCGATCCTTCAAGGTTGACATCGTGAAACTTAAGCACAGGTACCATCAACTACAATGTCTCATCCATCCAGATTTCTTCAGCCAAAAGTCTCAGGTATTCACTGACCCCTACCCCCACCCCAATAGTCCTCATATATGTGTGCAGCTGGGTGGGTGGCTGTTTTGATCTGGGAAACCTTTGGCAGCCAACCCCCAGAGATGTCATTTCTTCACAGCTTTTATCTGACTTCTCTGATAACTGGAAACCCATCCTTGAAAATACAGACTGTACTGGGGATTGGAGAGATGGCTCAGCAGTTTAGAGCACTGACTGTTCTTCCAAAGGACCCGCGTTCAATTCCCAGCACCCACATGGCAGTTCACAACTGTCTGTAACTCCAGTTTCAGGGATCTGGCATTCCTACACATACATGCGGGCAAAACCCAATGTACATAAAATAGTAATAATAATAATAAAGTCAGAAAGGGGGGGCTGCAGAGATGGTTTAGTGGTTACAGGCATTGGGTGCTGTTCCAGAGGACCCAACTTCGATTCCCAGTACCTACATGATGCTCACAACCATTTGTGGCTCCAGTTCCAGGAGATATATCCAATATCCTTCTCTGACATTTAAGGACACATGTACACACAAATAAGTAAATAAATTTTTAAAAAAAGAAAATACGAACTAGTGATCTAACACCAGTTCTAATTCCAGCCATACTCTTTAAGTCACTGTCTTATTATAAGAGTTTGGGAATCAAAAAGAACTGGCCTTTGTGGTAGTAAAATTCTTTTTTTATCTTTATGAACAGACTGAAAAACACCTCTCAGAGAAGCATTCGGCCCTACTGAATGATGCCTATAAGACTCTTCAGGCTCCCCTGAGCAGGGGACTATACCTTGTAAGGTATTTCCCAACCCATCTGTATGTGACTCCCTCTGTATGAGACCTGGCCTGATCCAGGAAGCTAATGATGTTTAGCCTCAAAAAATACTACAGAAGAAAAAAGAAAGAAAAAGATTCTATACAAGTATAGTTTTCATAATATTCTTTGCAAATCCATTTCCCTTGTTTTTGTTTCTTTTGTAATTCTCTTGCTTCCCGTCACCGACATCCAGCTCCTTTTTCTCTTCAGTGCTGGGCGTTGAACCTAGTGCCTCATGCTAAGTAAATAAGTTCCTGCCACTGAGCCATGGCCCCTGTCTGATAATCACTGGGTTTTTCTTTGGTTTTGGGTTCTGTGTTTTATTTGGGGGATGGGTGCTAGGTTTAGCATCCACTGAATCGTATCCCCAGGTGCCTTTTGACTTCTTTTTTTCTTCTTTTTTTTTTTTTTTTTTTTTTGTTGTTGTTGTTTTGTTCTGTTTTGTTTTTGGTTTGGTTTTGGTTTGGTTTTTCGAGACAGGGTTTCTCTGTAGCTTTGGCGCCTCTTCCTGGAACTAGCTCTTGTAGACCAGACTGGCCTCAAACTCACAGAGATCCGCCTGCCTCTGCCTCCCAAGTGCTGGGATTAAAGGTGTGCATCTCCACCGCCCGGCCACCTTTTTTTTTTACTTTTTAAAACGGGGTCTCACTTAGCTGCCCAGGTTGGACTTGACCTGTGATCTCCCTGCCTCAGCCTCCTGAGTACCTGGGGATGCAGATGAACCACCAGACCTGGATCCTTTTGTATATCTTAACTTTCCCTGGTTTTATTGTTCTAACTATTTTCTATAAATTTGATGATAGTAAGAGTACTTGGGGAGTTTTTTACAAGAACATCTAGGCAATTTTAGTATTGAGTAGAATGTTTATAAACATTTTAAGACCTGGGTAGAGGTATGAGTATCCAGGGCCCAGCTGCCGATGGCACAGGATAAGTGAGGTCCTTTACCAGCACTCTTGGCTCAGATTCTCCAGGCTGGACATGTGACTTACTTGGCATGCATTGTGCTCTAAGCTCCCTCTCCAACCAATATTCACATTTTCCCATATGACCATCAGAGTATTGTGAAGGGTGAGCAGAACTTACATGACCCTGATCTGTTTCATTTTCCTTATTCTCCTCCCCAATAGCTAAAGCTCCAAGGAATAGAAATCCCTGAAGGGACAGACCATGGAACAGACAGTCAGTTCCTTGTGGAAATAATGGAAATCAATGAGAAACTCTCACACGCTCAAAGTGAGGCTGCCATTGAAGAAATAAAATCCACTGTCAGAGGTAATAGACGAGATTCTCACACATGCTTTTTTGCTCTTGGGAGCACATGACAGGAGAAATGAGTCGAAAAACATTTGTTGGCCCTCATCATCATTCAAGGAGTTCTTTGTTTCCTGCTCATCTCTAGTAGGAAAATGAGCCTCCGAAGCTGGCAGAAATGACTTCGATCACATGGAGATCTACAGCCGGGCAAGCCCTGAGACCCTGACATATGGTCTCACCTGCTTTACTTTTCATTCCACTGTGTATCAGTCAAGGTTCGCCAGTATAGTATAGGTCTGTTTATTTTACAGAATTGGCCCAGGTGTGTGTGTGGAGGCTGACACAGAAACTGCAAGCGAGATCTGGAGTGGGAAGGTGTTTTTGTACATGTGTGCTTGCCACACAACCCTAAGGACTCAAGTTCAGTCCACATGGCTCCCATAAGTAGTCTCTGGCTTCACACAGGTGCTGTGGCACTCACTCTTTCTTGCATGCTCTCTCGCTCGCTGCTAAGTAAATGTCATTTTTTAAATTTTAAAGGTGGATGTCGCTTGAAGAATAACACCCAAATGACTTCCGACCTTGACACACTTGTACAGGCACATACACTCAAACGTGCACATATGCACCTGCAAACACACGTTACATACATATGTGTGCATGCACACACACACACACACACACACACAGTCTATAAGGCAGGACAGTAGGCTAAAAACTCAGGTTGGATTTTTTTAGTTGTTGTTTCCTATATAACTTTGGAGCCTGTATTGAAACTCACTCTGTAGACCAGGCTGGCCTCAAAATCACAGAGATCCGCCTGCCTCTGCGTCTTGAATGCTGGGATTAAAGACATGTGCCACCACAGCCTGGCATCAGGTTAGATTTTTATGTCACAGTCTTGAATATGTTTCTTGTGGGTGCTCAGGATATAAACCAAGGACTTAACACCTGCTAAGTGCTCAACAACTAAACATACCCTCTATGTTACATGGTTTGTTACGTTTTTCATTTATCTTCTGGATAGGCTTATATATCCTAGGTTGGCCTTAAATTCACTATAAAACTTAGAGTGACTTTAAGCTGATTCTATTGCCTCCACGTACTCGGCTATTCTGTGTCTTGGTATTCAAGCAGAATTCCTTCTTTTGAATCCCGTTTCTGCACATAATGACCTTACTTAATTGAATGAGACTCTCACAGTGTTGAGGGTTGTCATAGTTAGGGTTTCTGTTGCTATGATAAAACATCATGACCAAAGCAACTTGGAGAGGAAGGGGTTTATGGTTTATTGAAATAAATACTTCAATATTCAGAGTAACAGTCCGTCATTGAGGGAGTTCAGGACAGGAATCTGGAGGTAGTAACTGAAGCAAAAGCCATATAAAATTATATTTACTGGCTTGATCACCCTGACTTGCTTGGCTTTCTTTTTTTTAATTAATTAATTTGTTTGTTTTGCGTCCTCACTGCAGCCTCCCCTCCCTCATCTCTTCCCATTCCCTCCTTCCACCTTCCCTCTACCGTCCCCCAATCTACCCCTCCTGTGTTTGCTCAAAAAGGGCATCAGCAAAGCATGACATACTGCTATAAGATGAAGCACCTCCCCTGTATTCAACATGAGGAAGGCAAGAACCCAGACCCACCTGCCCAGGGATGCCACCACCCGCAATGGCCTGGCCCTCCCAAATCAATCATTAGTCAGGAAAATATCCTGGGGCTGGAGTAATGGCTTAACAGATGAGAGAACTAACTCTTTTTACCAGAGACTCAATTCCCAGCCCCCACATAGCAGTTCACAACTGTCTGTGGCTCCAGTTCCAGGGGATCCAGCACCCTCACACACACATGCAGGTAAAACACCAATACACGTAAAATAAAAATAAATCATCTTAAAAAAAAAAAAGAAAATACCCTTATTGAGGTATTTTCTCAATTGAGGTTCGCTCCTCTCAGATGACTCTAACTTGTGTCAAGTTGACATAAGACTTGCCAGCATAAGGGCCATCTTTAAGTACACTGAACTAACTGTAAATGTTACTGCAGCCACAATCACATCACCACCAACAAGTGGGCATCATAGCCTGTCCAGGTTGTCATATAAAATGAACCATTTCATGTAGAAAAGGTTCCACAAAGCTGGATGGTGATGGTGCACGCCTTTAATTCCAGCACTTGGGGAGGCAGTGACAGGCAGATCTCTGAGTTCAAGGCCAGCCTGGTCTGCAGAGTGAGTTCTAGAATAGACTCCAAAACTAGAGAAACCCTGTCTTGAAAAAAAAGGCTTCAGGATTCTCATGTAGCTATGAGCTTAAGTACTTTCACAAAAATATTTACAGTATGCCTATTGTGGATCAAGCATTGTGTGTGCCTATGGGTATAGCAAAGAAATAGTGCTTATATATTCCAATTCAGTATGTCCAAATAGAATTCATGATAAACACTGAGTTGTCTTTAACAAGCTATGTTAGGTGCAATTATACATGCTTGTAATCCCAGCTCTTGGAAGAATGGAGGCAAAAGGTCAGGTGTTCAAGGCTAGCCTAACCTACATAACAGCTTCCAAGAAAGCCTGGGCTATATGTGAGTCCTGAGCAGTGTGCTCACAGTTTATTAGAAAGTGTAAACATTAGACCTAGGATGGACTGGAGAGAGGACTCGGATGAGAACATCAAGTGCTCTTGGAGAGAACCAGGTCCAGTTCCCAGCACCCATATTGGCTCACAGCCATCCTTTACTGGAATTATAGGTGCCATTTTCTGACCTCCATGGATTCTGGAGCACATATATGATACACTTAAATAGTCATACAAACATACATATAAATAAATAAAAATATTTTCTTAAAAGGATAGACCTAAAGCCAGCAGGATGGTTCAGTGGTTAAGGTGCTTGCTACCAAGTCTGACAGCCTGAGTCTCCAAATTCATACCGTGGCATGCACATGTAAAGAAATAGTTTTAAAAAAAGCCCTAAACATGTCTCAACTTCATCTACCAATCTCTTTTTACTACCTGCAACCTATTCCTCTCACTTCTTACATACCACATCAGCTTCAGATGCTTGTACCTGGAAGCCCATCTAAAATACATCTGCCCGCCTGGCAGTGGTGGCGCACACCTTTAAAACACCTTTAATCCCAGCAGAGGCAGGTGGATCTCTGTGAGTTCAAGGCCAGCCTGGTCTACAAGAGCTAGTTCCAGGACAGGGACCAAAAGCTACGGAGAAACCCTGTCTCGAAAAATCAAAACTAACTAAATAAATAAAATATATCTGCCCTGTCACTATGGGGTGGTCCTAAATCTAATCACTGTTAGAGTCTTGTCTAAAACCTTTTAAATGGATTTTTGCTGCTCTTAGGTTTAAAACCAGACATTTCAACCTAGCTACCCGGGCTCTGCATATTCTACCTTCTGCTTTTCATTTTATGTCTCACTGTAGTTTCCTCATCAGTCACAGGCACCCTTCTACCCCAGGCCTTTGTGAGCACTAGTGATGTGACCTGAAACTCTCGTGTTTTCATCCCATCCCATTCTCTCCCTGATCTGAGGGCAGTCATCTCTCTCATGAAGCTTCCTTTGGCCACAGTGATCATTTTACTGCTGTAAATGTTACTGTGTAACTTGTGTCTCCTCTTCTTGGCTTCCCTCTCAGAAAAGTGCCTGAAGCATGACAGGGACTCAGCTAATGCTGTTAAATACGTCACAACAGTGAATACAAGCGCTGAGCGTCAAGACAGAAGTCAGCCACCCTCCTCCAGAATTTTCAGGCATCTTGAGTATCACATAAAGCTCCAGAGTGGAGGCCGGGCGATGGTGGCTCACGCCTTTAATCCCAGCACTCGGGAGGCAGAGGCAGGCGGATCTCTGTGAGTTCGAGACCAGCCTGGTCTACAGAGCTAGTTCCAGGACAGGCTCCAAAGCCACAGAGAAACCCTGTCTCGAAAAAACCAAAAAAAAAATAAAAATAAAAAAATAAATAAATAAATAAATAAATAAATAAATAAATAAATAAAGCTCCAGAGTGAGGATCAGGCCCAACACTACTGTTGATTTTCTGTGTGTTCTTAAACAGTGGCTTCTGAGGATGTCTGAGCCTCAGTTCTTCATCTATAACTGGAGAGTGTTAGGTCAGTACCCCAAGGGTTAATTAAGTTAGTGAGACACAGGCAGAGCATGTGAAACACTTCTAGCAGCTTTGTCTGGATGACTTACTGTCCTTTTTTAGATAAGTTCCTAAATTATTTCCCCTGGGATTCAGTCCCCAGCTCTTGCACTCACTGGCCATGTGCCTAAGGGAGAATTCCATACCTGCCATTGCCTACCTTAGAGATACAATGTATTTGAAATGTTTTTAAAGATTCTAAATAAATATAGTTACATCCAGAGGTGTCCTTGTAAAAATCCCTCATTTTCTAATGAGCAACAATAGGAATGAGGTTGCTGTGCCTGCTCTTTGCATTGGTAGTCTTCTAAGATAGAATGTAATGGAAAGAGTATCGTTTTCCTGGATGGCTATATAATTTGCAGGTGATTGCCTAAAACACGTGGTAATGAATGGCAATAAATGTCATGATGGTAGGGTGTTAAAGTATGGAAGACTGAGGTAGAGATAGTCAAAGTCTATCCCTGATTCCTGTGTTGCTTATTTTTCCATTACTGTGAGACAGTCCCTGGAATGAAAAGCTTTCTTCTGACTCAGTTTCAGAGGTTTAGTCCATGGTGGGTTGGCCCAGTTGCTCCTGGGACTGTGGCAAGAATGCAGAGTGGAGGAGGCAATGAACATGGCACTAGCCAAAGTGAGAAATACCAGAGCCTGGGTCCCATGTCTATAATGTCCTAACCTCCTTCCACTAGGCCCTGCCTCCTGAAGTGTTCTCTTCCTTTTATTAGCAAAACTAATCATGAGCCAAGCCTTTAACACCCAGACCATTTGAGGGACATCTCGCCCGTCATTCTTTTTTTCTTATGTGATTCCATAGCTACTTTAGAAGCCTTGGTGTTTGCCTCCAGACCTTCCTTGGCTGAAAAATAGAATGTTTATAGGGCCTGTCAGTACTGCATTTAACAAGAACTGCAAGGCAGTACAATGATAGCAAATACTTATAATCTCAGCAGTCAAGAGGAAGATGCAGAAGAATAGTGAGTTAAGGCTAGCCTGGCCAACACAATGAAGCCCTGTGTCAAAAGAATGCCAGGACAGGCTGGAGAGAGGACTCAGAACTTAAGAGCAGAGCTGGCTGCTCTTCCAGAGGTCCTGAGTTCAATTCCCGGCAACTACATGGTGGCTCACAACCATCTGTAATGAGCTCTGGTGCCCTCTTCTGGCTTACAGGCCTACATGGAAGCAGAGTGTTGTATACATAATAAATGAACCTTTTGTTAAAAAAAATGCAAGTACAGAGTGTAGTATACAAAGTACAGACTTTGCATAGCATATATAAGGCCTTAGTACAATCCTCATCACCACAAGAACACAAAGGCTGTAAAGCCTTGAACCCCAGTCCTTGTGTATAGAGCAGCATGGTCACAAAGTGTTGCCTTCATGTTGTAAGTCTACTTTTTTCCTTTTTTTTTTTAGGGGGTGGGGCTTTTCAAGACAGGGTTTCTCTGTGTGGCTCTGACTGTCCGGGAACTTGCTTTGTAGACCAGACTGGCCTCAAACTTACAGAGATTCACCTGCCTCTGCCTCCTAAGTGCTGGGATTACAGGCATTCCCCACCACCACCTGGCTTGACTGTAAGTTTATTTAAATGGAAAAATTAAAATAATTATTTTCTCTTTCAGCTAAACAGAAAGAATTTACTGACAATGTAAACAGAGCTTTTGAACAAGGTATTTCATTGCTTTTTCAAATTTCCTATTACATTTACGTAATGTGCGTGTGTGCGCGTGTGTCATGCGTGTGCATGAAAAGATCAGCGGACACCTTTCAAAGGCCACTTCTTTTCTACCATGTGGCCTCTGGGAATTAGACTCAAGCTGTGTTCATCAACAAGAGCCTTTACCCACTGGCCTGTCTCACTGGGCCTTTTAAGTTTGACTTATTAATTTTTTTTTTCTTCACTTAATTTTTTTTCTTATTTGGCTGGAGAAATGACTCAGAGGTTAAGAGCATTGCCTGCTCTTCCAGAGGTCCTGAGTTCAATTCCCAGCAACCTCAAGGTGGCTCACAACCATCTGTAATGAGATCTGGTGCCCTCTTCGGGCCTGTAGGCAAACATGCAGATAGAGCATTGTATACATAATAAATAAATAATTTTTTAAATATATTATTTATGTGTGCAAGTGTTTTGCCTGTATATGTGTATGTGTGCCACGTGTGTGCCTGGTGCTTTGGGTTCCCGGGTACTAGGAATTGAATCTAGGTCCTCTGCAAGAGTAACAAAGTGCTATTAACCACTGACCCATCTCTCTAACCCTTTCACTTTATTAAATGTAAAACAATGTTTATAAGATATAAACATCGAGGCTTTCTCTCAGAGTTAGAGAATCCCCTTCCTTCAACACATGTTCAGTAACTGCACATTTCTAATAAATTTATATCTTTTACAAAATAGAAAACTTGGGTAGCAATGAGGAAGAGAGTGATTTGGAAGCAACAAAAGATTACAGAGAAGGGGAAATCCAAAACTTTGGGCCAGCATGCACATAGGGGTTTAGGACTTTTTTACCTTTGTTTTATTTTTATCTTATGTGTATTGGTGTTTTGCCTGCATGTATGTCTGTGTGAGTGTGCCATTATCTTGGAGTTAAAACAGTTGTGAGCTGCCACATTGGTGCTGGGAATTAAACCCCCGATCAGTGAGTGCTCTTAACTGCTCAGCCATCTCAGCAGCCTGTTTGTTTGTTTGTTTGTTTGTTTGTTTGTTTGTTTGTTTGTTTTTGAGACAACCTCTCTCTCGATAACCCTGGCTGACTTGGAACTCTCTAAGTAGACCAAGCTGGCCTCAACTCATACTGCCTGCCTCTTCCTCCTGAGTGCTCGGATTAAAGGCATATATGCCCATATTTGGCTTGATGGGGCCCTAACAATGGTCTGATATGAGAGATCATCTACAGTTTGCTTCTGTGTAATTTAATATCCTCTAAGCCAGTGGTTCTCACCCTTCCTAGTGCCACAGCCCTTTAATACAGTTCCTCGTGTGGTTGTTACTCTGTCCGTAAGGTTTTTTCTTTTCTTTTTTTTTTTTTTTATTCTTTTGTTGTTGTTGTTGTTTTGGTTGCTGGTTTTTCTTTTTCTTTTTTTCGATTTTATTTATTTATTATATATAGTGTTTTGCATGCATGAATGTTTGCAGGCCAGAAGAGGGCACCAGATCTCATTACAGAAGATTGTGAGCTACCATGTGGTTGCTGGGAATTGAATTCAGGTCCTCTGGAAGAGCAGCTGGTGCACTTAAGGGCTGAGCCATCTCTTCAGCCCCGGTTGCTGGTTTTTCTAGACAGGGTTTCTCTGTGTAACTTTGGCTGTCCTGGAACTTGCTCTGTAGACGAGACTGGCCTCAAACTCTCAGAGATCTATCTGCCTCTTCCTCTCTAGTGCTGGGATTCTAAGTATGTGCCGCTGCCATCTGACCATTATTTTCATTGCTACTTCATATCTGTAAGTTTGCTACTGTTAATGAATCATAATGTAAATAACTGATACTTCTGTTGATCTTAGATGACCCTTGTGAAAGGGTCATTAGGCTCTCATAGGGGTCACGACCCACAGGCTGAGAACCACTATTCTAAGCAAACTTACTGGTAGATCCTTTGTTTTCTGGTTTTTGTTTTGTTTTGTTTTGAACTCTTTAGACTCTTTGGGGGATCCGTCACCTGGCTCCCAAATAATCACACACAGTAAGTTTTTCTTACTTATGAATGAATGGCTGGCCTTAGCTTAGCTTGTTTCCAGCCAGCCTTTCTTCTTCTTTTTTTTTTAATTAATGTGTGATATTCTTTTTTTTAATTTTTATTTATTTATTTATTATGTATACAGTGTTATGTATTTTTATTTATTTATTTATTATGTATACAGTGTTCTGTCTGCGTGTATGTCTGCAGGCCAGAAGAGGGCACCAGACCTCATTATAGATGGTTGCTAGCCACCATGTGGTTGCTGGGAATTGAACTCGGGACCTTTGGAAGAGCAGGCAATGCTCTTAACCACTGAGCCATCTCTCCAGCCCCACCCAGCCTTTCTTAACCTAAATTATCCCACTTATTTTTTGCCTCTGGGCTATTATCTTTCTATAAACCCTTCTGTACTTCTTTCTCTGTGGCTTGCTATGTAGCTGGATAGCTGGCCCCTGCAGTCCTCTTCTTCTCCTCTTTCTTTTTCCTTGATCTCCTCTTCCCAGATTCCTCCTATTTATTCTTTTGCCTGCCAGTCCCACCTATTTTTTTCTCCTGTCTTTCTATTGGCCCTTCCATCAGGTATTTTAGGCAGGCAAAGTAACACAGCTTCTCAGAGTTAAACAAATGCAACAGGAAGGAATGCAACTCATCTTTGCATCATTAAACAAACATTCCATAGCATAAATGAATGTAAGACATCTTAAAATAATATTCCACAACAATCTTCCATATTTTCTATACACTAGTTTGTCATTTTTTTAATTAATTATGTTCTCCAAGGCTGTCAGCTGGCTTCAGTGGACAGCAAATGCCTTCATGCTGAAGGGATCACCATCTCCCCAGCCCTGTTATTTTTTAATGATTAATTTATTATTGTTTTTAATATTTACTATTCCCAGGGTTGACTACAAAAGATCTTCATTTAGGGCACATTATACTGTGTTGCATTTGTCTAAGTTGGGATTTCTCAACTTTACTGACATTTCTGAGTGAAATAATATTTTTGCTGGGGGAGGCTAAGATCTTTCACAGAGTCTCTGGCTTTTACCGAGTAGGTCTCACTTCTATTTCCCTGGTTATGGCAGACAAA